CCCCCCCCCCTTTTTTAAATCAATCTTTTTCTACTGTCAAATCAGTTAAAGGAGCCAAAACCAGAAGTCTTATTAACAGACTGAAAAGTGCCAAGACCCACAAATGACCCTTAGCAGCAATTAAACCAAAAAAGAATCCGTCAACTGGAACTGAAACAAAAGGCTAAGTACTTATCCAAACTCTGGCAAAGACACAGCTCTTTCCCCCCATCCCCCCTGAGCCTGTTAGGAGCGGGGTATCTGAAGCTGCTGCTCCGTCTCCTCCAACTCACTTTCTGCGTCAAATAGTATGGGTCAAAGTCCTCCAGGGGAACCGCAACCAGGCCTTGGGGGATGTCCCCATAGATGAAAGGCAAACTCTTCCCTGCTTCCAGGTCACTGTTTGGCTTGGGCTTGCTGTCCTCATCATCTTCCCGATGACTGCCATCGGCCTTTGGCGGTTTCTTGAGCTTGCTCTCGGCAATGCGCCTCTCAATGTTTGCCAGTGACTCAGGGGTGAAAGGCTTGAAACTATCAGGGCCTGGTGGTGCGAGCAGCCGCGCTGCCATCTTCTCATCCTGCAGCAGCTTCGTTAGTTATGCTGCGTCCAGGACAGGTCAGCTCTGGAAGAAACGGCAACACAGACAGCATTAATCAATCGCTGCTCTAAAAAGAGGCCAGACCAAACCATCTCACTCTCAACCTTTAGTCACAACCTTCGCAACACATAGTTTCTCCCATGACATGGGTATTTTTCTCTTCAGAAAGTCTGTGGCATGAATGGACGAGGCAATGTCCATAACCACCCCTCAGGGGAATGAGCAGCCAAGGAGATCAGAACATGGGAGTCTCCTGAATTGCTAGTTTTTATTATTGACTTAGATGCAGCTCACAGTTAGGAACCACGTACAGCTACAAAGATATATTCCATACCCTCTGTGCTTAGTGAAATAAGTCAGACAAAGACAAATACTGTATGATAGTACTTATATGTGGAATCTAAAAAATACAGCAAAAACTAGTGAATATAACAAAAAAAAGCAGACACAGATATAGAGAACAAACTAGTGGTTACCAGTGGGGAAAGGGAAGGAGGAGAGGGGCAATAAAGGGATTAAGAGGTACAAACTATTAGGTATAAAATAGGCTACAAGGATATATTGTACAACATGGGGAATATAACCAATATTTTATAATAACTATAAATGGAACGTAACCTTTAAAAATTGTGACTCACTATACTGTACGCCTGTTAACTTATATAATATTGTATAGCAACCATACTTCAATAAAAAATAAAGTGATTTTCTTATAGACAACATTAAAAATATATATATTCCATACCCTCAAGTAATTTCTATTCTAAATGAATAAGGTATGTTTAACATGACCGAGAGGCACCTATTAGCTTTGGAATCCTTATATGCTCAAGTCATCTTCCTTTCCTAGAACTCTGCTCCCTAAAGAAACACTCTTTTTCCAAGGACAACGCAAGGGTAAACTGCCTCTCCTTTCAAATTTCAGTTTCTGAAAACACTAAACCCTTCAAAACTTTGGAGGCACAAAAATATAGACAGAAATGCTTCTATTTGCTTTGGCTCTTCTGTTTCAAGTTCTTTTTCAATTCACCAAGGTTTGTAAAATCCATCCAGTATAAAAGTCCAGAAGTACCTGCTCTGATGACCAAGCTCGTGCCAGGGACAAACACAAAGCGCTTTTCTTCATGGAGAGGGAAGCTATTGCTCTACGTACCTCCCACTCAGCAACAGGAAAAGCAAATGGGAGAGGAATCTTAGAGACCTTCCTCTGATGCAAGAGCCCTGCAGCACTGCAGGGTGAACGACAGCAGAAAGGCCCCTGAGCGGGGCTCACGCCAGAAGGACAGGAAGTGAGAAATGAATCACAAACCAAATTCCTTTCTAAACAGAGAAACTGAAGTAGTGCCATACTAGAGCCAAAGACTTCTAAGCATGGTATCTGAAAAGCCCATTTTCATTTATGTGTATACAGAGTCCTAGGTTATTGAAATACACACCTTGGAACAGGGGGCTCCCTAATGTCAAAGCAATGGGACTCTTGCCACGAAAGCTTTAGGGCTTCACTGGCAGTTCATCTGGCGCTCGTGGTGCTGCTTCTTCCTTTTGTTTTATGAGCTTCACAAAGACAATCTGGGACATTTTTTTAAAGGCTAAACACAGTTCTTTCCCTCCTACTTAGCCCTCAGGGTCCACTCCAAGGCTAGCATCCATAAAGCTTGAGGCTCCTTAAGAGAACAGTAGTAGAGTTGGCGCTAAATAATCTGGGAGTGAAATACCCAAGGGCTCTTTTCATAAATACCCCCGCAGAGAGCCCAGAGTTTTCCAGTGGTGGTGATGGCTGCGAAAGGCAGTGTGTGGTATCCACATGGGCTGATCAGCTCACTCGGTTACAGCCTGGCACTGACGAGGCCAGAACCGCAAGTCAGCTCCGTGCTGCACACACACAAAACACCACTCCTCAGACGATGGGGTCGAAGAAATCCTTTTCATGTGTGAGGCATGTGATTCTAGAGCTGCGAGGGACTTTATAGATCCAGTCCACTTCATTTTAAGAATTGGGAAACTTGCAGTCTGAAGAGATGAGGTAACGTGCCCAAAGTCACAGGGCCAGGAAAAAACACACAAAGAGCTCTGACTCCCCCAACCCAGACTTCTTTTATTCTGACAAATATCAGTGACCCCTCTGCCTGTCCCAGCCTGACTCCCACTACTCCGCAACAGGAACAGTCTGGTTCAAGTAAACCGCACGCAAATGCCAATGGTTTTACTGATCTAAGACTTTACTCCCACTGTTTCCCCCAAACCTAAAATTCCTTTCCTCTTATCAGTCCCTGAACTGCCTCCCGTAAATCCCTACTCCTCCGAAGAATCTTCCCATCAGCTCCAGCCCTTACGAATTATTTTCCCCTTGTGAACTCCTACAGCTTTATCGTGATCTCTTAGCTAGCACTTATCACATACTTGCTATGTTTCAGGTATTGTTCCAAGCGCCTTGTTTGTATTAACTCGTTTAATCTCCAGAACAGCCTATGAGGTAGAGATTATTATTATCCCCTTTTAACAGATGAGGAGGAAGAGGCACAGAGTCCTAACGGAGCTTGGCCAAAGTTACACAGCTAGCAAATGACAAAGTCAGGGTTCAAGACATCTTATTCACACTGGCTTTGGCTCTCAGTCATTGTCTAACTGCACCATATAAATCCCTAGGGGCATGAGTGGTGTCTTAAACTTCTTTCGTATTCTTCTCACAGAGAATACGATTATGCCTGGAACCCATAACTGGTCCAAATACTTGGGACTCCTTGGTTCCCACAGCCACACTCATCCTCAACCCTGGGTCACCCTACTTAGAGGACAGAGAATACTGCAAGAGGAAGTCACTGCAGATGCTGACAAAGTCTTGTAACCTGACTGTACACACCTGGGCTCTTCATAGGTACAGCCATCCTAGGCTAAGTCCTCTGCCTTTGTTTCCTCCTGCCTTCTCCAGGTTCCCTCAACGATCACGGGTCTCCAACACATTCTCAATCTTCACTTTTCCTCTCCTACTTCTGTATTTTCTCCCTTTACATCTTCATCCCCCCCCCCCCCACTCTCTCTTCATTTGGCTTAAGCGATTCTGGTTCTCTTCTGATACCCTGGTTCTATCCTGGTTCTTCCCCTACCACCTTTTTCTTCTGTAAGGGCTGGTTTTCTGCAATCTCTCTGCATCACTCCTCCTTTTAGGAATCTCATCTACTCAAAATAATCTGTATGTGGGTGATTTTCAGATTTCTATCATCAGCCCTGATTGCTCTTCTGAGCCCCACAACTGCCTGTCACCACTTCACAATTAAAGCATTTAAAACCACTCATCTTTTCGCTTCCAAGACGGAGTCCTCCACTTGGCTTTCTTAATTCTGTGATGGGGACCATCGTTTTTCCAGCCATCTAGCGTGGACCTTCAGTCATCTTTGCCCCGTCATCCTTTGCTGTCCTTGCCCAACCAGTCACCAGCCTCACTAGTTCTTCTTCCTTCAGAGTTTCCATTTTCAACCTAATTCAGGTCCTACTGCAATAGCCTCCCACCTGTGGACCAGTCCTCAGCCCACCAGGCACATCTCCAAAGATCCGTTTCCCTAAAAAATCTGCTTCCATTTTGTCATTTTCCTCCCTCGAAGCTACTGGAGTTACAGAAAAGAATCCAGACTTCTGCCATTTCACTGCCATTCAAGGCTTTCTACAACCTTACACTTCTCAGATATTCATCTACAACCGTATACTTCACAAACATGCTTTTCTACTGCTTCCCTGCAAGAACATCTACTCTGGCGACTGGTTTTTGTTTTAATTTTCTAGTATTTTTTTTTTAATTTTTTTTTTTTTTTTTTTTTTTTTACGTGGGCCTCTCACTGTTGTGGCCTCTCCCGTTGCGGAGCACAGGCTCTGGACGCGCAGGCTCAGCGGCCACGGCTCACGGGCCCAGCCGCTCCGTGGCATGTGGGATCTTCCTGGACCGGGGCACGAACCCGTGTCCCCTGCATGAGCAGGCGGACTCTCAACCACTGCGCCACCAGGGAAGCCCTTCTAGTATTTTTTTTAAAGGTAGAACAATAAAGTGTATACGAATCTTAAGCGCACAGATTAGTTTGTAATATGTATACACCTGCGTAACCACCACTTAGATCAAGATACAGAAGGTATGTCTCCAGCACCCCAGATGGCTCTCTTGAGCTCCCCCGTCAAAGACCACCACAACCACCCCTGCCCAGCAAAAGCGCTTCTGACATCTACCACCATAGATTAGTTTGGCCTTAGCAGAAGATAAAATATACTCTTCAAAATCTGGCTTCTTTCATTCAACATTATTTGTGAAATTCATCTTTACTGGCGTGTGTAGCAGCAGTTCATTCTTTTTATTGCTCTGTGGTATTCCATGTAGGAACATACAATTTATTTACCCGTTCTACTTTGCTGGACATTTAGGTTGTTTATAGTTTCAGGCTATTATGAATGAAAGCTGCTAAGTACCTTTGTGTGCACGCCTGTTGGTGGCCATATGTGCTCTTCTCTTTCCAGCACATAGGCAGGAGTGGAATGCTGGGCTCAGAAGAGAGCATACGTTTATTTAGCTTTAGTGATACTTCTACCAGCGAGATAAGAGCGTTCCAGTTGCTCTACATCCTCACCAACACTTGGAAATGACAGCCCTCTTAATTTTTACCCATTCTAGTGAGCATACGTATAGTGATAGCTCATGGTGTTTATAAAATTTACCGAGGTGGAATTAACCACTTTAAAGCGAACAACTCCGCGGCAATTGGTACATTCACAACATACTGCAACTACTGCTTCTATCTAGTTCCAAAACATTTCCATCACTCCAAAGTAAAACCCTTTACCCGTTAACCAGTTTCTCTCCATTCCTCTCCCCTGCACCCACCCAACCCCCCAGCTCCTGGCACCCATCAGGCTGTGTTCTGTCTTTATAATCTATTGATTGATCTATTCCAGGAATTCATATAAATGGAATCATACAGTATGTAACCTTTCATGTTTGGCTTCTTTCATCCTCATTGTAGCATGTATCAGTTCTTCACTCCTTT